AAAGATCTGCGCTTCAGCGCAATTGGGATCAACATCTCCTTTCGGCAACGCTTCTCTAGTATCCCGTATGATCTAGCTGCATCATAATATTTAACATTTTCATATATAATAATAACTTACTGTTAAATATAGAAGTCCTATAGACGATGGAATCCTTGGTGTTAAGAACATGGGCCTAAACATCAAAACAAAGTCTCTATCTTCCAACAGTTGCTCAGTTATGTTGATTTTACGGTTTACCTCATTATGCATTGCAGCCATATTGGATTTCTGGCAGTCGGAAGGATGGTAGGGGTTTGAATCCATGCCAGATCAATTGCTTAATGTCGAAAACATGGGTCTAGACACACGAATGAAGTCTCTACGTGGATTACTAAGGAAGATATTCTTGATTTAATGATTTGACCTAATTAATACGCTAATTAGGCTGATTATGCAAAATGCTACACATATGCAAATTAGCATCCGGCAGTTTGTGAGTCCTTATGACCTGTATATTGCATTTCCAACATAAAACCTTATAGTACTCGACATTTCTAGGTTCACTAGGCTGGCTAGTAGACTATAACCTTGGAATGACTATAATGTATTCAAAGTCCAAGACACTATATCGAAGTTTGATAATCAAAGTTGTTAATTACCGTAAGTATAACATAGAAGGACAACATTCACATTGCACATTACTTCAGAGTAGGAAATCCTGAATGCTTAAAAGTTAAATTTTTGCAAAAACTGCCAAAAGCCATGCAAGCTGAGACAGAACATCATGACTATCGAAATGGAAAGGATATAGAAATTCACACTGGCTGAGGTAGGCCTAATGGGACCTATAGTCTAGAAGAAATGTCCCACAATACTTCATGTCTACAATACAATATACAATGGGTTAGATGTCTTCTAGACTAGTTCCAGTCTAATGACCTGCATTATTTGCAACCGATTAGATTCAAGAGATTGCTAAGATGGATCAGTTGGAAAGCAGGTGACACTAAACGTCTAAACTGAGTAAAATGATTTAAAAGTGCCTCTTCAAAAAGAAAAACTTCTTAAGTTCCTATAAGTCGGTGAGAAAATTTGACCGCACAGAGGTCGAAATTAAAGATGACACAATAGTGGTAATTAATTCTAGGGACCACAGAGATAGGGGAAACCCAATTGGGGAAATTAGTAAATACTAAATCAAGTATGCTGCTAATAGATCCAGTACATCAATTATGCGGAGTAAGAGGTTGAGCTAAGGAATGATTAGCTGACTAAATAAAATGGTATCTCATTTGCCAATCACTGAATAAGACTGCTACCAGATTCCCGGCAGATTAAAGTCAATATAAATTATTGTAGGTATTTAAGACTCATTATAACGAGTGAAGAAGGCATTCACTGAATTGGCCATTTCTGTGAATTGACCAAGAAGGGGCCTATACCCAATCATAGAGTACATGGGTTTGAAATTGCTAATATTAAGCTTCAGCTAAGAGAGTTCAGCTTCTTCGTCCAAAAGAGGTTACTATAGAGATTTAGAAATGGAATTCTTGATGGGATACTATCAGGAGTGTATCAATATTGATACACTCCTGATACTATACCATAGAATTTTAAAGTATATTATGATAGTAAGCTAGTGTATAAATAATGGTATATATACCTACAAATTTCTATGGTCACACATTCACATTTGTCATAATCATGAACTTTTATGTAACTGAAAATATGGAAGGAACCTTGATGCCGCGTCACTATATCAGTTATGTCATCCTTTCTAGAAATATCAAAGTTATCAGCAAACATCTCACAGGATGCAATAGAGGGTTCTACTTTAGATGTAGTGCCAAGAACTATATCAGGCAAGAAATCATATTTTATATAATTTAAGAACTTTATATAATCTAGATTTATCTCGACTGTATTGCATAGCCATATCCCATCATTCTGCAGTACATAATGACTGTAAATCGAAGAAACAGCTGTTATAGTGCTAGTGCTACTACTAATATACGTATGTTTTCTTTTACAACTATATCCAGAAGCAAATGTGCTCCTGCGAATGTACCCAAATCCCAAGAAACGACTACAAGAGATTTATCATCAAGTTGTGCAAGCTAAAAGTGGGGATCAAACTCTTCATCATTACATGCATTACAGGTAACTGTATATAAATTGTAAAATTATATATTTTCTCGCCTGCAGTGCTTCTATGCTATGTTAATTGATGTTATACAGATCCAATTTTAAGCAACAGTTTATGTGCATTAGCCAATAGAAAACTAGCTATATATATAGTATAGCAGGGGTAGAAATTAACTTTTGAACAATTGTTAAAAATGGACAAACAATTTCCCAACGGACTCCCTACCCTCAAAAAGAGGGAGTCTGTAACAAAATGAGGGAGTCCGCAGTCTGAGGTTCAAAATTAAAGATAACGCATGTGCTTATTTTGAAGATTCATGCGGTTGCACGTCTGCCAAATTTTCTTTGGACATTAGCTGAAAAAATACGGTAATTCCGCGAGGCCATGCTCTGGAACGAACTAGTTAGTATGGCAGAATTTTCAGGGAGTCACATGGACTCCTGCACATGTCAAATCTGGGAGTCTGACAATAAAAACAGGGCTCAGGACTCCGGACTCCCGTTAATTTCGCACCCTGGTATAGCTATTTCGATCAGTTACTTTCGCTATAGGCCAGACTGGGTGAAATATAAGATCTTGACATTCACAGCCATTTATTTGTGTTGCAATATCAGATCATGTGGAGCACAGACCAGATATTTGTAATTTGAGGAATTATAGTGTAATATTGAAAATATAAATTTTTATAGGTATGAGGATAAGAAAATGCATCGAATTTCACCAAATTGTATAATGCAGCTATAATGTATGTCGCATTACGTAGGTTTCAATCACAGCCTTGTATCAATAAATTGTGAACCTATATTAGTTATATAGCCATTAATATTCTGATTGTTAATTAACCTAGTGTCTTTTTGCAAATAGTTCTGAGAACCAGTCTGCAGTAGTACATGAACCCATCTGGAAAACAACTCTACATTTAACCTGGCCAGACAATATGACAATCGAGAGCATTCCAGCAAGACGCAAAATCATCGGCGAAAGAATAGCGGCTGCGCTTGCACTTAAAAGAATAGAGGTATTGTAACATAGCGCGAAACCACATGTTTATATTGCGTAACATAGAGATGTAGATTGCTAGTGAAATAGGACCGGCAACAAGGACATGTGACTGATAACGTCGACTAATCAATCAACGACTTATAAATCAATGACTAATAAAGTCCGTTAGGAGAGGAAATTATTGAATATGTGATATATGATATTATATATTGGATATTGCGTAATTCTATTTTTTGCGGTTTCTGATGGCTGTGACAAGAGTAAATATTGATAAGCAGTTATAAGAAGAGTAATCAACTTGGGGGATATGGCACCGGGCCAAGTTCGGAATGGACTACAGATCAATAACAGCTAGTTTAGTATAGGGCCTGCGATTGGGCAAAAGCAGGATGTGACCATGCAGAGGTCGAAGAGGGAAGCCTCCCCTATATAAGGAGCTATACAGTCCGGAGAGACGGGGAAAAGAAGATATAGAGGGGGACAGAGGAAGGTAGAGAGGGGAGAAGGGAGAGTATGCTCTCGACGGCCACTGCAGGCTGCGCTAATAATGCCTGTCATAACTTATAGGGAATAAACCTGTCTATATTATAAGCTATGCCTTGGACCATCACTGCTTACCTGTTAACAACAAAGCTCCCTACAGTATGACAGAGTTTTGATGAAAGATTAATTGTCATTTGCTCTTAAGTTAAATGTTTATTAGCTAATACTACTAGATATATCAATATAAACAAACATGTGTAAATACATTTTGGTCTTTTTAAAATCACAGTTTTTATTTCTCACAGGACTTTGGCGTATTGGATCGCGATGGGAATCCAATTCTTTACAGTGAGGAAGAGCTATCTCAACTGGTTTCCCAGCATGTTCAGCCAATAAGCATATCTATTCCACAACCACTGCAGGAACGGATGCAGGATTTCATAACCAGGTATAAGGTGAGGATTCGGAATTTGAAAAATTGAATTTAAAGTTCGTATATGATATGTATAATATGTTTCTTATTATATGTTCATTCATATTCCAAGTTTAGTAATTATCATTTTCAAATTATGTGTTGGAAAATATACATATCTGTAGTTGTCGTATCATGAAGAATGGCTGTATTCAAATATCTGCTCTCTTTACAGGTGTTTTCACAAACTATTGTTGAGAAAAATTCTGCACCGTTCAGCAAACAGTTGGAGCCTGTAGCAAAAGAGTCGATACTCAGTTGTGAGAATTTTGATGTGGATGATTCCATTGAACAACAAGACCATGTTGGTAATAATGTGTTACCACTTGGAAGCACATCCAACGAACAAGTACTAAATATATTCACAGGTGAGTACTCAGTAAATCCTCAGGCTATACGTTGTGTGTGTGTGCGTGTGCGTGCGTGCGTGCGTGTTGGTATGAATGTACTGGACATTCCTGCATATGAGCGCGTGTGCATGTGTGCAATTCACATCTGCTGTTATTGCTTAATCACTTGTGTGTTGCCTTTCTCACCTTCGTGCAGATGAGGTGCTTACAGAGGCATCTCAGAGGGACATCGAACGGATGAGTCATGACTTGTATGTCGAACTGAGACGTACGAGAAATTCACCGGATGATAGGATGCGACAGATTAGGGAAAACAGGGAGGACCTGCCTATTGCCAAATACAGGTAGTTTTTGCATGGTGGTCATAATAGTGTAGTTAGAGAGTAGCTGTTTGACACCATGTGCGGTTGACACGAAACAGTCACAATGACGACATTCGTTTATCACAAAAAGCGCCTTAGTATTGTTACTCTTGGACTGAAATGACCATGACCAATGACACATCTATCTGGTGTGATTGACAGTTAGGTCTAGCCAATCGGTGTTATGGTATGGGTGTTCTAAAAACGCCGTGCATGCGGTAATGAATTCCTGAAAAGTTGGGAATTTGGTGCGCATGCGCGACAAACGCATAAACTTGTCTAACTTTATCAACCTAATAACAATATCCAGGAGGAGCATATAGCCATCTCACTGAGATAGATAGGTTAAGTCTTTTTTCAAGTTGTAATTATGTTGATTATCGATGAAGAAGTCGGCATTAATGTATGATGAAGCAATACGATAATATGAGTGTATTGTGTTTGTCGTTGTATCGATAAATCTTTGCTTTCTTAATCTCATCTGACAGACAGACGATCGTGGATGCGATAGCAGGCAACCATGTCATTGTGCTCGTCGGTGACACTGGTTGTGGCAAGACGACGCAGGTGCCTCAGTACATTGTTGAGCACAGCATAGAGCAGATGCAGGGAGCGGCGTGCAACGTTGTCATCACGCAGCCGCGGCGTGTTAGCGCCATATCCATCGCACGCCGCGTTGCGTACGAGACAGGAAAGAGTCTGGGAGAGCACATTGGCTACCAGGTGCTATATATATATATTCCTCTAACCCACACCAAATCCACCAAAATCGTCGGTGTGGGCATTGGTCAGAGGAATCTCGGACTAATAATATATAAGAATTATCCATAACCAATATCTATATATGATAACTCTATAACCCATAATAGTCCACTAGCCACTCCTATGTCTTCTTTATTGAACCTAGAAATGTCGAGTACTATAAGGTTTTATGTTGGAAATGCAATATACAGGTCATAAGGACTCAGAAACTGCCGGATGCTAATTTGCATATGTGTAGCATTTTGCTTAATCGGCCTAATTAGCATATTAACTAGGTCAAATCACTAAATCAAGAATATCTTTCTTAGTAATCCACGTAGAGACTTCATTCGTGTGTCTAGACCCATGTTTTCGACATTAAGCAATTGATCTGGCATGGATTCAAACCCCTACCATCCTTCCGACTGCCAGAAATCCAATATGGCTGCCATGCATAATGAGGTAAACCGTAAAATCACCATAACTGAGCAACTGTTGGAAGATAGAGACTTTGTTTTGATGTTTAGACCCATGTTCTTAACACCAAGGATTCCATCGTCTATAGAACTTATATATTTAACAGTAAGTTATTATTATATATGAAAATGTTAAATATTATGATGCAGCTAGATCATGGAATACATAGATGAACACCAAACACCATCAAACTACTTACTATTCGCCTTCGTCTTCATGGTTGTGATCATTCTCTCCAGTCTCCAGATCCTCTTCTCCTTCCTTCTGCTCTTCATATCCTTCTTCAGCATCATCTCGTTGTGTCAGTGAGTTACAACACTCATTTCCTCCTTCACACACACAGTAGCTGGTACATGACAAATTAATCCATTTGCTGCACAACCACACTTCCTGCTGCAGGCATTCCCCTCTGCTCGGCAGCTGCAGCTAATGACGTCCATGAAGTTTTTTGGTGCGGTAGGTTCTTTTGACAGCACTGGTACCACTTCATCATTTACAGTAACTTCCCATCCATAGTTAGTGATTTGGACAGCAGGAGGGTCAGCCTTGTCTGCAGCCTTCCATAGCATCATTTGGAGATGTGCTCTCTGGATAGGGAGTCTCAGATTGATGTCTGTTGGTGGAAGGGACTTCACGGATGGAGGATTCTTTTGCTTGCGATAAATCTCGTACCTGGAAGCATTCATTGACGTGCATTTCTTCTGGCCATATAAATGTAGGAAGAAGGCTTTGCCAGTTGCCATCAGGTCACTGTCAGTGGCATTGCCCTCTCCAAGAACTGAGTCTAGTCCAGCAATATTGGTCTGGTTGAGCACTTTCAGGGCGGACACTTTCCCTTTCCCATTAGGATAGGACACAGTGTCACAGCCTGAGAGTGCGTGCATTCCTGCAATATTTCCTTGCATAATGACATCCCATTAATTTCGCACCCTGGTATATGACAGGCAGGCTATTCCGATCAGGTTACTTTCGCTAAAGGCAGACTGGTGTAAACAAGTACATAAGTCTATGACATTCACAGCCATTTCTTGTGTTGGCAATATCTAGATCATGTGAGCACAGAATCAGACATTTGTAATTTGAGGATTTTAGCGTAATATTGAAAATATAAATTTCTATAGGTATGAAGGAAAGAAATGCATCGAATTTACCAAGTATCACATGCAGCTATAATGTATGTCGGCATTACGTTAGGTTATTAAATACACAGCCTGTGTATCAATAATTGGAACTAGTATTAGTTATCATACGCCATAATATTCCGATTGTTAATTAACTATACGTATGTTTTTGCGAAAATAGTTCTGAGAACCCAGTCTGGCAGTCAGTACATGCCCATCTGGAAAACAACTCTACATTTAACAACATGGCCAGCATATGCACGATCGAGAAGGCATTCCCAGCAAGACGCAAAAATCGTCGCAAAGAATAGCGCTGGCGCTTGCACTTTAAAGAAGAGGTATTGTAACATAGCGCGGACGCACATGTTTATATGCGTAACATAGAGAGTAGATTGCTCAGTGAAAACTAGAAAGCGGCAAACAAGACAGTGACTAGAGTAACGTCGACTAAGTCAATCAAACGACTGATAAAATCAATGACTAATAAAGTCCGTTAGGAGAGAAATATTGAATATGTGATATATGATCATTATATATATTGAGATATTGCGTTAATATCTATCTTTTGCGGTTTCTGATGGCTGTGACAAGAGTAAATATTCGATAAGCAGTTATAAGAAGAGTATCAACTATGGGATATTGCACCGGGCCCAAGTTCGGACAATGCGACTAGACAGATTAATAACAGCCTATTTAGTATGCCTTGGATTGGCAAGAAGCCAGGATGTGACCATCCGCAGAGGTCGAAGAGGGACACCTCCCTATACTAAGGACCTATACAGTCCGGAGAGACGGGGAAAAGAAGATATAGAGAGGGGGACAGACGAAGGTAGAAGGGGAGAACGGAGACGTATGCTCTCGACGCCACTGCAGGCTGCGCAATAATGCGCTGTCATAACTTATAGGGGAATTTAAACTGTCATATTATAGAGGCTAAGCCTGACCTATCACTGCTTGCCCTGTCAACGAACAAAGCTCGCTACAGTTATGTACATGAGTTTGATGAAAGATTTAGTTGTCATTTGCTCTAAGTTAAATGTTTATTAATCTAATACCTACTGAGATAGTATCAATATCAACCACCTATCTGTACATTTTGGCTTTTTAAAAATACAGTTTTTATTCTCGACGCGCCCGCGCGGCCTGTCGCAACCGCAAGTGGCAGTCGATCCGCCCGGACTTTGGCAGTAATGGAATCAAGCACGAATGGAGGGAGAAGGCGCCTGAGGAGTGGCCGGGGGGAGAGGAAAGGTTGGACGTGGTGGCACGGTGGAGGAAGGACCGGAGGGAGCAGAGCCGCAGGGAGTAGAGAGAGAGGCGGTGGAGCGGGGTGAGGAAGAGCTACATCACTTGTTTCCCGCAGCATGTACAGCGCCATAATATCTATTCCACAACGCATGCCGCAGGAAACAAATCAGGATTGTATAACCAGGGTATACCGAGGTGAGGATCCGGAATTTGAAAACTTGAATTTAAAGTTCGTATATGAATGTAAGATATGTCTATTAATATGTTCATTACATCATTATCGACCAAGTTTAAGTAATTATCATTTTCAAATGATGTGTTGGAAATATACATATCTGTAGTTGTGTATCCAATAGAAGAACTGGTGTATTCACATATCCTGCTTCTTCTACAGGTGCTTTTTTCACACCGAAAGCAAACTATACTGTGTGAGAAAAACTTCTGCCCGCTGTCAGCCAACAGTTGGACGCCCTTGTAGCCAAGAGCTGAGCTCGATACTACAGGTTTGTGAGAATTTTGCATGTGGATGATTCCAATTGAACCACAAGACATAGTGGCTAATAACGTTTACCCTGGAAGCACATTCCAACGAACAAGTACTGCAAATACTTAGCACAGGTTGAGGTACTGCCAGTAACAATCCTCAGGCTATACTTGGTGGTTGTGTGCGTGTGCGTGCGTGCTGCGCGCTGTTGGTAGAATGTATCAGGACATCTCCTGCATATGAGCGCGTGCGCCATCGTGTGCAATTCACATCGTGCTGTTTATTGTCACTTGTGGTGGTTGCCTTTCTCACACTTCGTGCAAAGAGGGTGCTTACAAAGGCCATGCTGAGAGGGGACATCGGAGACGCGATGACGTCATCGACTGTATGTCGGACTGAGAACGTACGAGAAATTGACGCGCGATTGATAGGATGCGACAGATCTAGCGAGAAAACAGGGAAAGGACCTGCTATTGCACCAAAATACAGGTAGTTTTGTTGCGATGGTGGTCAGATATAGTGTAGTTTAGAGAGTAGCTTTTGCACACATGGTGGCGGTTGAGACCAAACAGTCACAATGACTGAATGTCGTGTGAGTGCTACAAAAAGCGCCTTAGTATTGTATCTTGAGTGACGCATAGAGCCAATGCCACGATCTATCTGCGTTGTGTATGACAGCTTAGGTCAGCCAAAGTGCAGTGTTATGAAGGTGTTCTAAAAACGCTGTGGCATGCGGTATGAATTCCGTGAAAGTTGGGAATGTTGTGCGGCATGCCGCGACAAAAAGTCGGATTAACTCTGTCTAACTTTTCCAACGTAATAACAATATTCAGGAGGAGCAAAGCCATTTCGACTGAGATAGAATAGGTCAAGGTCATTTCAAGTTGTAATTATGTTGATTATCGATGAAGAAAGCTCGGCATAATACGTGTATGATGAAGCAATACGATAATGAGTGTATTGCTGCTTTTGTCGTTGTATCGATAAATCTTTGGCTTTCTTAATCCTCATCTGACGCAGACGATCGTGGAATGCGATAGCAGGCAACGCATGTCACTGTGCTCGTCGGTGACACTGGTTGTGCAAAGACGACGCAGGTGCCTCAGTACATTGTTGAGCACAGCAAGAGCAGATGCAGGGAGCGGCGTGCAAACGTTGTCATCACGCAGCCGCGACGTGTAGCGCCGCATATCCCATGCGCAGCTCGCGTTGCGTACGAGACAGGAAAGAGTCTAGGAGAGGACATTGGCTAACCAGGTCCTATATCTA